GCAGCAGGAGACGCTCAGGACACCAGGGAGCGCTCAGGACACCAGGGGGCGCTCAGGACACCAGGGAGCGCTCAGGACACCAGGGGGCGCTCAGGACACCAGGAGGCGCTCAGGACACCAGGGGGCGCTCAGGACACATCAAGGCAGGTGCAATGGGGGGACAAGGTGCTGGAGATGGGGTTTGGCATCACCATCATATTTCACCACTGGTCACCCAATTTATTCTCATGTATGTGATTATTTGTGTTATTAGAAAGTGGAATTTATATGAACATATAACCATATGTAGGTGCATCGAGACGTCCTCTCCATCTTATGTGGACCTTTTCCTTGAAGACGCTGAGTCCCTGTATTTATTTGAGCACCTCACAAATTATGGTCAATTATGTAGGATCTGTTTCACTTCTTTCTCACTTCTTCCCTCGTTTTCTCTCACTCACAAGCTCTCACACACACAAAATTCTACAACTTCAATTACCCGATGTATTGAAGACAATTTATTATAGTGCAGCTTTTCTGGTTTAGCTGATGTTCATATTGCTGTAAGAATAGGAACGTTGTGTTTCTCAGCTGTGTATTTCTCTAAGATAGCAGCAACTTTAAAAAAAATACCCAGGTACTGAAAACAATCCAAATATCAATCAGCAGCTTAATCATAAACAAACTGTGGTAAATTCATTCACTGGAAAAACACCCACTGTTACAATCAGGTACTGCTGGATATGCTCAACAGCAAGGGTGAATTCACAAGTACGTATGATGAGTCAAATAAGACAAATGAATACAAGTACATACATACAAGTCCTCTTTTATAAATTCTATAAAATTAATACTAATCTAAAGTTACATAAAGCAAACCAGTAGTAGACTCTGGGCATGGGGTGAGAAGGGAAGGTGTAGGAACCAGAAATTACAGGAAAACAAGAGGAAATTTTGAGGGTAGTTGAGTTTTTCCTGTGTTGAGAAAGGTAATGGTTATGTCACTATTTGTCAAATTGTACACCTTATGGGAGGTCTATTATTTGCTAATTTCACCTCATTAAAATATTCCAAATTTAAACACACATAATTTGGTAGGAAATAAGTTAGAGATGAATAAAATATATGAGAAATAAAAAAAGAAAATCACAGAACATTGGCATAAGGACTTCACTCATCAAATTGAAGAAATTTTAAATTTCTCAACACATAATTAAAGATTTAATTAAATATATATAAGAAATCAAAGACTCCTGGATATAAACATGAATAAACCCTAAGCCGACCTATATCTTTAGGGAAACACTAGAATACGACAAAATATTGTCATGATTTCATTACATAATGCGTGTTAATCAAACCACACCAGGCATGTCCAGCTGTGTCCTGGAGTTGGTTCAGGGAACAGGTGTGTCCTGCGGTTAGGAACCATGACACCAAGCTCACAGCTTTTGTTCGATTTGACACCATAAAAAGTCCAAGGGATCTCAACTGAAATGTAGTGTGGATGTCACATCTGTGGGTGCCGCACACTGCCCCACAAGAATATGGAAAGGTTGATTACCTCTGGAGGTGTCTGCGGAGAGTAGTGCTGGTCTCTCAGGAATGTCCAAAATGGCTCAATAGAGCAAGAAAGGAGACTGGCTCAGGGATCCTATAGTGGCTTTGTGGTGGAGGCAAAGTGAGGGTTCTGTCTCACAGAAATGAGTTTCTGGGATTTGAACCTCCAAATGGCATCAAATGAGGGAGTTCCTGTGATTGCCAGCTAGATTCACCTCATGTCAGAAAGAAAGGAGATGATGGAGGAATGAGCCTTTAGTTATCAGCAGTCAGACATCAAAGCAATAGTCTGATGACTTATTCTATGTAGCTACTATAAAAACATGAATAAAAGTAGATCAATGTCCAATATGGGTGGACAAAAACCAAGTGAATGCAAAACAAGAAGAATAAGCAAGTCATAATGAAAAGGAGGAAAATGAGGAGAAAGAGGTGAAAGGCACGGGGCAGGGGATTATGCAAGAGTCCTGTTTCAGGGTCTTGTGTGGAGGCTTTTCACTATCTAAAATCATCCACTTATTCTGAGTGTCTTAGGTGAGCTGTCTGCTCCAAAACATCACAAGTGCCAGAGGATTCCTGAGGATATTCAGTTTAATACCTTCTATTTGAGATGCCTTACAATTGTGTAAAATTCTTAGTTATTATTGTTATAATTAGAGATAGGCTCTCACTGTGTCACACAGGTTGGAGTGCAGTAGGTCAACTATAGCTCACTGTAACCTTGAACTTCTGGCTCACACCATCCTTCTTTATAAGCCTCTTGAGTAGCAAGGACTAGAGGGGTGCACCATAACACCCAGCTGATTTGTTTAAAAAAATTATTTCATAGAAATGGGGTCTTCAATATTGTCCAGCTGGTCTCAACTCCTAGTCTCATGTGATTCCCCTGGTTTTGCTGCTCAAAGTGGTAGAATTATAGACATGAGCCACCACATTCCGTCTGAACTGATTCTTTAGTTGCAAAATATCAACCCAAGAATTGACTGCCTTAATTTTTTCTGCAGCGTTTTGGTTAATACTACCTGATAAAATTTATTCTGATTTGTTTCAACAGCAGAATTTTTCCTGATTTTTTTCCAACGTGTGTAATTTCATGGTTGAAGATCACAAAATACTGTTAGAAGACATAAAAAGGCAACCTTAAACTTTTGGTGATTGGAGTGAGTATAATACAAAAATTACTTTCAATATTGTGTAACACATGCATGCAATAGGATGAAGGGGAGCAATGAGGGTAAAATTTCTAAATGTTTGAATCTTCCAGCTCCCGAGTTATAGGGTAGTAACTGTTGTGTCCTGAGGGAGGGACCCTGATGCCATATGCTAGTGGGATAACTCTTGGCCAAGAGAGTTTCCATATTTTATTAAAGTTGTTATGTTTTTTCAATTTAGTGATGCCATTTTTTCAACATATTAAGAATATTGTGAGTGGGATTGATCCTGTATGACATGAACAATGGCAATGCCGTCTACGTTTAGATAATACTACGCACCAGGTTAAGATTGAAAATTTGTAGAAATGATGCGCCATAACATTATTCTAGTTTCCATACTAGTTTTTTTTCTCTTTGCTTGCATTCCATTTCAAATTTATATGTGAGGTCTCTAGAATGTAAGAATTTATTTAAAAGTGTCTTTTCTTGTGGTCCATTTTGATGGGGCTTCCAGAAGATTTAACAACCTCCTCTGCCTGCAGCACAGTTTAAAATTCTGTGCTACTGTTGGACATCTGTATTTAATCCTGGTCTTCAGTTAACTGACAATCTCTAACAAGTGCAATAACTTCTGCCTTCTGGGCTGATTTTCCATCAGATAGAGGAATTTATCCTAAATGAAGTTTGTACTAATAATATAAATTATTAGTTAATAACCACCACTTCTATTATCAAGGTGTTATTCGTCAAGAAATAATGTTAAATCAAGGCTGTCAGTGGGGCTATTACCTAATGGATATGCAAAATATTTTACTAATCTAGATAAAATAGATGTGAACACTCTTTTAGTATCCAGCCATGACTCCTGTCTACCACATTATTAACCACACAGTAACTTTGACTTCACTTGGGACTTGTTCTAATTTTCAAATTTGTTACATATTAATCTTAATGTCTCTAGCCTATTTTAGCAGAGAGTGAAGAAAGACAAGCTAGGCTGACAAACTGCGTAGGCTGACAAATTTCTTGTTACTCTCTATAAGAACTTGCTTCTCTCTGAACTTCAGACTTGTGTGTTTTGAAACATTAATTATCGAAAGCATTAAAGAAAATTTGCAAAGTTCCATCTTCTGTGTTTATGTTATTGTTGATGCAGTTGTAAAAAATAAGAATATATTCCCTTTCTATGTGCATTTCCAAGCTTAGTAGCAGATTTTTAGTAAGACTCAGAATAATAAAACATTCAAATATTGTTCAGCTGCTTGATAGAAAAACAAATTGTGGTACATTTGTTTGCTAGAATGTTACCCAAAAATAAATAAATGTCTGCTATATCCAACTACAAGGTAAAATATAGAATAATATATGTTAAGTAAAACAAGCCAAGCAAATAAGAATATATACTGCGTTATGTCATTTCTAAAAATTCTAATAAACTAAATGACTTGGCAGCAATGTATAGATCAGGATTTGCCAGTGTAGAAGAACAAAAGGAAATGCTGAGAATTCTCTCGTCCACCTTGATAACAATGATGGTTACATCATATTTATCAATTGTGCAATTTAAATATGTGAAAGTTTATTATCTGTAAACTAAAACTTACAAAATTTATTACAAGCAAACAAATGGAAATTTAGACACCGAAGGCGTGATAGAAAGACAGAAAAATGTATATTAAATTTCAGAAATACTTAAGAACTTATCTACCTTAACCCTAGTTCTCACCGTATTTTAGATGAATGCTAGAATACAGCAAAATCACACATGTTCTCACTACAGAAAGTGGGTTCCACAACCACACGAGGCACCCGCAGCTGTGTCCTGGAGTTGGTTCAGGGGGGAATCGTGGCCAGTGATGAGGAGCACAGCCTCAGATACCTGGGCTTACTCATCCCAGACAGGAGCTCTTAGACACATACTTTGCCCTTTTTCCATGTGTGGTTTACTTCATGGAGAAACCATTGACTCCGACAAAACATAATTTACACAAATGTGTAAAAATAAAATAGGGTTATCAGTTCAAAGAGTTTATCACAGCATAATTTTATAATAAGACAGCATATTTTCCAAGTACCACCATTGTCACCAAATTCCTGCAAGGCACAGTCATATTATCCGGGTACTGCCTTCTCCTCAGGCGTCCCACCCCAGAGCTTGCTATATAGCAGGACACATGCAAATACCGTCCTCCCTCTGCTGATGAAAACCAGCCCAGCCCTGACTCTGCAGCTCTGGGAGAGGAGACCCAGCCTGGGATTCCCAGGAGTTTCCACTTGGTGATCAGCACTGAACACAAACCACCAGCCATGGAGTTTGGGCTGAGCTGGGTTTTCCTTGTTGCTATTTGGAAAGGTGATTCATGGAGAAGTAGAAAAATTGAGTGTGAGGAGACATGAGTGAGGCTAACTGTGGATATGAGTGGCAGTTTCTGACCAGCGTGGTGTCTTTTTGTTTGCAGGTGTCCAGTGTGAGGTGCAGCTGGTGGAGTCCGGGGGAGGCTTGGTCCAGCCTGGCGGGTCCCTGAGACTCTCCTGTGCAGCCTCTGGATTCACCTTCAGTGATTATGCTATGGACTGGGTCCGCCAGGCTCCAGGAAAGGGGCCGGAGTGGGTAGGTTTCATTAGAAGCAAAGCTTATGGTGGGACAGCAGAATACGCCGCGTCTGTGAAAGGCAGATTCACCATCTCCAGAGATGATTCAAAGAACACGGCGTATCTGCAAATGAGCAGCCTGAAAACCGAGGACACGGCCGTGTATTACTGTACTAGAGACACAGTGAGGGGAGGTCAGTGTGAGCCCAGACGCAAACCCCCCTGCAGGGGCGCGCGGGGCCACCAGGGGGCGCCCAGACACAAACCTCCCTGCAGGGGTCCCCGTGACCACCAGGGGGCGCGCGGGACACAAACATCCCTGCAGGGGTCCCCGTGACCACCAGGGGGCGCCCGGACACGGAGCTCGGGGCTGTCTCCAGGGCAGGAGCCGGTGCTGCTAAGGCCTGGCTTCCTGTCATGGTCTGCGGCCGCCTCATTGTCAAATTTCCCCAGGGAACGTCTCCAGATTTACAATCTGTACTCACAGTTCATGTCTGTAAATGCAATTTTTTTTTGTCCTTTTTGTTTCTTTGTTTCTGTAACAGGAGGACACATCCTCACCTCCACAGAAGCCAGGGTGTCACTTTGGGGGCAGAAATAATCCTTTCGTGGTCAACAGGACGAGAGTCCTGAGGAATCCAGGGAAATCTGGAGAGTGTTTTCCAGTCAGACCCAGGGCAGAGACCTCCATGGGAATCTCTGATTAGAACAGGTTTTGAGTTCTGATAGGAGCCAAGAGAGAGGCTCGCCCAGGGTCGGGGTCCTTAAAACCTGATGGTTTTCACAGCTATCCCCCCTTGTCTTGTAAAACTGGGCACATCTGACTCAGACAGATTCAGTTCACCCTCTTTCTGCTAATCCATTTTCCTTCTCTGCAGACTTGATTCTCACAGTTCCCTTTCTTCTTCGCTGCCTTAAAAACAGACTATGTGTTTTCTGTAGTAAAAATCCCAGGCCTCGGGTCTGCAGAACCTGGGTAGGCTGAGGGGACTTTCTCAGCTATTTTTCTTTGCTATTGCCTGGACACTTCTGTTGTCTTCTAGACATGGAGGCATTTGGGAAATGAAGTGGACTTTAGTCATGAAGGGAATAATACTGGTTTTCTCCAATGGGATACTGATGTAGAGCTGAACTTGTGCTTCTCACACTGTCACAGAGTTGGGACTCTCACGCGTGACTTTGAGGAGAGCTGAGGATGTGAACTCTGGGTAACAGTAATTGTAGGGTCTGCCTAGGCAGCCTCAGGTCAATACTGCTGGCCCTCAGGAAAGACAAGCTGGAATTCCTGGGAAGACCTGCATCTGCCATCCACCACGGAGCCCCATGGTCTTCTGTTATGCTGTGATTGAATCAGCCCCACCTCGAATATCTAGAACACTCTTCATGACTTAGGAAAACATAATGGCAGGCTCTCCTAACACCTGTGTTATGCCATGGGAGCAACACCTAAGCTAGTGTGTGATTCAGTAGATGAGACTGTGGTCTAGTCAAGATGACAGGTAAAATTGATAGTTGTCATTATGATATTTTATTTTTTATTTGGCAATATAATCGTGCTCATAAATACTTTTGCTACTTTTTTTGTGTGTCAGAGGCTTTGGAACTGGAACAACTGCATCTTGAATACGGGCTAGGGAAAATAAGACTGAGACCTGCCGGGCTGGATTCCTAGTAAGTTAAGGCAGTAAATTAGTCACAGGATGAGATAGGATGTCTACACAAGATACAGGTCATAAAGACCTTGCTGATAAATCTTACAGTAAAGAAGCTGGCCGAAGCCCTCCAAAACCAAGACAGTGGCTGAAGTGACCTCAGTTTGTCCTCAGTGTTCATTATACTCTAATTATAATGCATTAACATGCTAAAAGACACTCCCTCCAGCTCCAAGACAGTTTACAAATGTCCAGACAACATCAGGAAGTTTCCCTGTGTGGTCTAAGAAGGACGGGGTGGGCCGGCAGGGGGTGGGGAGGGACACTCAGCTTCAGGAATTGCCATGGGGACTCATGAATAATCCATCCCTTGTTTAACATATAATGAAGAAATAACCGTAACTTCGGCAATCAGCAGCCCACACTGCTGCTCTGCCTCTGGAGTAGCCAGTCTCATTATTTTACTTATGTAATAAACTTGTTTTACTCTGTGGATTTTCCCCGAATTGGGACCCCTTTCTGCTAACATTTGTGCAATTATTCCTGTTCCAAGCAGAAAGCACCAAGATGGAATGACGTTTCCCTGCATTGTTATAAGAAGTACATTCACCCCCTTGAGTGAAAATGCACCAGGGGTGGAATGAGACTGGGAAGCTGATGGCATATGATGGAAGCCCGTCCCTGAGTGAAGGAGACAGTGAGGGAGGATTGGGTGGAAGATTCCTATATTTTTGTGCTATGCAAGGAAGCTGCAAAAGGTAACTGAGTCTCGTGAAAGTCAGGGTTACCTCTCAGGGGATCCCTATGACTCCAAGAGAGGGCTCTCCTTAGGAATCACTGTGCAGTCAGTCCTTTCATTAGAGTAGACCACAGGGCATGGGCCTCAGCACACGCCATGCCACAGATGTCAGAAAGCAGCTGCTGGGAACCTGATCCACCTGCATTTTGCTGCCTGTATGTGGAGGGAGGGAGGGTCACCATTCTCAGGGTCAACACACCGTTTGTGAATTTTTATAGAGAACACCTGCTTTTACTGTATTTTATTGGAAAAAATATGAAAAAATGTGCACCTGCACACAATTGTAATTTTCACATTTACTTTTGTTGCATTATTTCTTAATTCTGCATGACATCTTGTCACAGAGTTGAGTTTTTCACAGGGATTGTTCAAAGGATCGAGACCATGCATTTTCCACATTCAGTGGTTTTTCTCCATGTGCAGAGACCTTGAGTAGAGTACATCTGGCCCTCTTCCACACTATCTCTTGTGTCCCTATGGAAAAAGCAGAGATTTGTCTGACTGTAGAATCTGGGGTAGGGGTCTGCACACCTCTGAGCCTACAGAGAAGCCCAGTGAAGTTTTATGGCGTCAGAGGGCTATGCCATGTGGGCGAACTCTAGCTTCCCCACTCTCAGAGATTGCTGGCCAGCTGTAATCGAGAGGTTAACAGTTAGAGCACTTGGAAGCCCATTTCATCACAGCTCCATTATGTCACTTATCACCATTTGACTGCAGGGAATAACTCAATCTTGATTTTTCTGACGCCATTTTCTCATCTTATTGATTTGTAACTTTGGTTATACAAAATGTTATCTTTTAGTTTCTGATTCAAACCTCAGGTTTGTATGAACTCATCAGGAATAATACAAAATGTGTCCAGTTTTTGGGAAATGTAAATAATTTCCATACTGTTTATGTGTGTGTCCGTGTGTGCGTGTGCGTGTGTGTGTATGTCAGTTACTTACACCCCGATGAACATGGTTCCTTAATTATATAGTTGAAATACAATAATGTTTGTGGAAAATCACCTGCAGTAAGGTCCATGAAGCTGACCCTGTCACATTGCTTTGAGGAAGCTTAGTGCACAGGTGAGGTCTCACAGGAGACATCCAAGGTTCAGCCCCCAGGACTGTTTGAGCTCCTGACCTGGAACGAGATGTAGGACTGGGCATCTCAGAAGCAGATCCCCCAGCCCTCCTTTATCTGGGCTGCATGGACAGCAGAGGGCCCACAGGAGAAGCTTAGAACTCAGCCAAGACAGATCACCATTTAGGAGCAGGTGCGGCAAAGAACCAGCCGGAGAACCTTTGACTATAATTGAGAGTTGTGTTCTTTGACTTGACAGCATCCAACCCTAAGGAGACCACCCACTATATCATCTGTAACTTTGTTGTTACAAAGAAAACCACAAGTGAATATAACTCTGCAGTTAACTCCTTGAACCTGCATTGATGAGTGTCCACGGCCTTGTGAGTGCAGAGACCACACCCAGTGCAGGTGCAGACCAAGGCTGCACCAGTCAGCCAGCTGCTCCCTCACGAGTCTTCCAGTTCCCTTGTTCAAAGCGTCTGCTCATTCATGGGCTGAGAAAAGGGAAGTCACGCCTGCAGCCTACTCTCTCCACAGAGCTGACAGGGCAGGGGGACAACATCGATTATTCTTGGAACTTGCCTGTAGGAATGCAGCTGTGTGCAGACACACTGATAAGCACACACTTCTTTACATAATTATTTGGATTTTTTTTTTATTTATTCTCTCCAACTTTTTAAAAAAAAATTCATCACTTTCCCCCTAATCAAAGAGGATTTTGATCGGAATTCTTGTGGGGAGCCCCCTGCTCTCCCAGATGCCCACCTTCATTTCTCTTGAAGGGAAGAACACTAGCTCTCTTGATTTCTACTCTAATCCTCTAGGACTGAAACCAGAAGGTTGCATGTCCCCTGCGTGAGCATCCAAGAAGATCCTGTCTGTGGAAGCAGGAGTGTCACAGCCTTGACTGAGAGCCATGGTCCTGAAATGAGACGGTGTCCCCAATGGAGAGCACACGTGGACGCCCACACCTGAGGGCTCACTGCTCCTCACCACAGATGCACTCCCCTACTGAGTCCTGAGACCTGAGTGCACCCCATAGAGTAGGGCTCAGATGAGGGATGCAAATCTCCACCAGCTCCACCCTCCTCACGGTTGAAAAGCCGAGCACCGGGACTGGCTCAGTGACTCCTGTGCCCCACCATGGACACGCTTTGCTCCACGCTCCTGCTGCTGACCGTCCCGTCCTGTGAGTGCTGTGGTCAAGCACTACTTCAGGGGTGAAATATCTGCTCTTTTCTTTGTGGGCTTCATCTTCTTATGCTTTCTCCACAGGGGTCTTGTCCCAGGTCACCTTGAAGGAGTCTGGTCCTGCGCTCGTGAAACCCACACAGACCCTCACGCTGACCTGCACCTTCTCTGGGTTCTCACTCACCACTAGTGGAATGGGTGTGGGCTGGATCCGTCAGCCCCCAGGGAAGGCCCTGGAGTGGCTGGCACTCATTTATTGGGATGATGATAAGCGCTACAGCACATCTCTGAAGAGCAGGCTCACCATCTCCAAGGACACCTCCAAAAACCAGGTGGTTCTAACAATGACCAACATGGACCCTATGGACACAGCCACATATTACTGTGCACGGGGAGCACAGAGACACAGCCCAGGGCACCTCCTGTACAAGAACCCAGACTGCTTCTCAGGGATGCTCCCTCCCCACCAATGCAGAACAGGAAAGTGTAGCTGAGATGCCATTTCCTGCCAGGGTCTGGGTTTCTTATCCCCACCTGACTCAGACCCTTGTCTTCCTCCCTCTTCTTTACTAATGAATGGCATGTCCCCTGCTAGTGGTTCATGCAAGCAGAAGCTGTTTCCTG